AACTCAGGTCCTTGAGCTTGGGCAGCAGGCAGCGAAACCACTGAGCTAAATCCCCGGCCCCAAGGAGCACATTTTTAACAAGTACCCCGAGAGACCTACACTTGTATCAAACACCATCAAGGTAATCTCCTACAGGATAAAGTTTGGAAATTGCTGAACTAAATTGTTCAGCACGCTGCTCTCCTTGTGTATATCCAGCTCCTACCAGGTGGGATTTGGGTTTCTGCTCACTGGATTCTTAGAATCAGAAACTTACAGGGTTGACAGGAAACGTGGGGTCACCTAGCCTAGGGCTGCTCAAAACAAACACCTGGGAATCTTGTTAAAATTCAGATTCGGATTCAGTGGATCTGGGTTGGGGTCTGAGATCCTGCATTTTCTAACAAGTCCCATGCGATGCTGGTGCTGCTGGTGCAGGGATTGTTGTTAGGTAGCAAAGGGCTAGTCTGGAGGACAGGCTTTTCTGTTAAGGGCCAGAGAATGTTAGGGTTTGTGGGTTCTCTGAGCTCTGTCCAACTATCAATCCTAGAGTTGTGGCACAAAAGAGGCCATAGACTATACGTGTAAATACAAACAACTCCATGTTGGTAAAACTTTATTTACAAAAGCAGGCAGCCAGCATAGTTTGCTGACCCCTGGACTGGTCTGTCTATCTTGGTTGTTGATAGATTGCTGCACAATTATTATGAGAACGGATCCCTTCTCCCTATTCTCACATTCATACAACTGGATCCAAATGAGCTAAAATGAAAATTCCTTTCACAAGTGTTCTGCCAGTCTTTTCCTACCCCTTCTTCCCTATAAAATTGATCCACTCTGCCTATCTTCACGCTTACAGAGAGGCCCGCCGAGATGCCAATGACAATGACCCTCTTCTTCCCAGCAGCCACCTAGGAGAGAACAGACAAAGGAGCACCACTGGGGGGACTCCAGGGTACAAACCTATTGTGTGGAGGCATCAGGGCCAGGACCCAGACAAGGGGACAGGGTTGGGCCGAGTGTTGGGGGCTTTTATGTCCCCATCAGACATGCAGTTAAATATTAGTGGAAAGCACACACCTTCTTCAGCTCCTCAATCCCATGCAGGGCGCTGTCTTCCTTCCCCTCCCTGGAGGCCACCACAGACCTACGAAGGCAGATTCAAAGTCAAGGACATTCATTGGGAAGCAGAAGCCTATGGTTTATTGGGGAAGGGGAAGGCCACGCCGAGGGAAGGGAATGAAGGAAACTGTCCCTGAATGAGAACCCACTGTTTTGATGGGCATCATGATAGATGCTTGCTCCATAGAGTCAAAAAGCTCAAATACCGACAAGGGCCAGTTGGGCACCCTAAGTAGGTGCAGTGTGTCAAATGGAGGGCAGTAAGGAGTGATGGGGGCTGAGGCGTTTTGGACAAAATACTTGTCTAGAGTCATTCCAATTCAGTTTCTGAAAAATACATATGCAGCCCAAACCAAACAGCTCAGGCCAAGGTGACTCACCTGTCACCTCCTGCAATGAGGTAGGTGTAAAGAGGTTTTTGTCCTAGACCTGTCATCAGCTGGTTAAAGGAGACCTGTGTCAAGGGGGAAAGGAGGTAAAGAAGTAATGATAGTGAAGAAACAACTTGGATTTTCAACTCCTAGCAGAAAGAATGATTTTCTTAGGGCAGTGCTTAACCCAGTCCTACTTGGAATCTGCTCTGCAGATGCTATGTGGAGATGGTTAATTAGGGACGTGTGGGGTGTAGGGACATCAGCAACAGACTGGTGGAGTCTCAGTGGGCTCAGGAGAAATGGGATCCATGGTGGGAAGAGAAAGAGAGTGACACTTGGAGCCCAGGTCTAACAGGGGCCCACCTAGAAACTTAACTATGATGAGCTTTATGGTCCTAGGGCTCATCCCCAGAAGGAGACTGACGAAGACAGGACCAGGGTACTCAGCCACATGAGGAATGCCATCCGGCTAGAGGTGCCCCCTCCACTCAGCACCACCAGCCCCCCATCTGGCTCCTGAGGAAGGAAAGATGCCTAGGTCGCCATGGCCCAGCTAGGCCAAGGGAAATATGTTCTTTTCTTTGTTAGTAATGGAAGAGAACTTAAAGGGCCTCCTTTATCCTTCCTCTCATCACAAAGTTGAATAAAATACAGGCCCTGTGATGCAGCAGAAAGAACACTGGATTGGAGAAAGAACCTGGAGTATGACTCCCATCTCTGGTTTAACTGCTTATCAATCCCTTGTTTACTCTGGAAGGGACTGACAACAACGTAGTCACCTAAATAAAAATTTTAAAGTAAAAGTGGCATTATCCAACAATTATTAGCTGGGTGCATTTCTGCAAGCTATTGTGATTTTCCACGCGCACACGCGTGTGTGTGTATGTGTGTGTGTGTGTGTGTGTAAAGAAACCTAGAGACAATTACACCAATTTCACAGGCTTGTGTGAGGGTAATAGGTGTGGAAGTGCACTGTCAATTCTAATTTAGCTAATGTTATTATAATTATTACTGATTAATAAGATGACAATAAGGATCCAAAAGGAAAGACTGGGAGGATGGAGAAGTGAGATCTACAAAAGTGAAGGATGGTGATCAAAACAGAGAAAGTAGAAGGAAATAGGAGTTCAGGCAGGAGCAAGTGGAGGTCAGTACCTTCAACACTTCCTGCACTTTCCCGGCCACTTGCAGCATGGTGGTCAGAACTGATTCGCTGTACAGTCGCTGCAGGGAACAGGCGGGAATCAGAAGCCAAGACAGGAGGGTGTAAATTGGAGTGGGAGGAGAAAGGGCTCTCAGTTTCCAAACCAGGAGAAACGGGCTGGGAGGGCAGAGGCTGAGGTGGAGATGGGTGTCCAGGGGATGAGCCTGGGTTACCTGGTAGGCAGGCATGGCTTGCCCCTCCTCCTGGAAGATCTCAGCATCACACTGCCCCAGCAACTGAACGATTTTCCCAGCATCTGCTTTGTCCAAGTCCCGGGTCAGTGGATTTGACTTCTCTGTGATCCGCATGGCTGCCTCGTACCCAGACAGCTACAAAAAAGCAGGGACAAAGATAGAGACAAGAAGCCGAGGCTTCGTTTGTGCCCGCTGAGCTGGGGTGGGAGTGGCAGCGGGCACGGTGTTCGGACTCTCTCTTATACACAGACACACACCACACCACACCAGGCACTTAGCCTGCACTTGGTGCTCTGGGCTATTAGAGAAGGAAGGTCAGGGGGAGGTGGGAGGGAAAGGGAGGTGTGTGTGGGAGCAGAAACCCAGGGAGAAGGGAAGCCCAGGTAAAAAGAACAGTTCTAGGAATCGGTGCAGAAGACCAAAACCGAGAGGGGTCTCACCTCCCACTCGCCAGGCTTGGGGGTCTCAATCACATGTTGAAACCGCTTTGTGCTTGGCATGGTCCCCTGCTGTGGTCACACCGTCCTGTCTGCCTCTTGAGTCACACAAACCCCTCTGGTCACAGTGACTCTGCTTCCAGCTGGCAGAGGCTTATCTGAGCCACAGAGATGATTAACCTAGGAGCACTGGCCTCTCGGAGCACCACCCCCTGCACTTCTTCCTGGACCATCCTGTCCTGGTCACCAGGCCCCCAGCCGTCCTGGGAGCCCCTGGTCCTCTTTGCCTGCACCTCAACTTGCCAGCCTCTGTTTGCCCCCCGAAGAGATGGAGGCTCATTGCGCTTGCCCTCTGGGCACAGTGCCCTCTCCTCTGGAAAGCCTAGAGCCTGGGCGGGCACGACAGCACCCAGGCCATTGAGAATCCCTGGGCAAGAGTGCTCTGGGACCAGGATGCCCCGGGAGGCCAGAGGTCAGGGTCCTGGGTTCAGCAGAAGTCAGATGACCCAGGCCATGGCTTGATCACATGCTCAGCACACACTGTCCTTCCCTGCCCCACTGGCCCATTTTACCCTCTCTTCTCAGAAGCAAACAGAAGCTTCAGAGCCCAGGTGTGCAAGCACTGAACTGGGTATCGCAGGAGAAAAAAATGCCACAGAAATAGAAATGCTGCAATGAGCATGAGAACCAAGGAACCTGCCCTAAATACAAATACAGTGTTAGCCACCGTTTATTTACACTGAGCCACGCACTTTTCATCCACCAACCTCACTGGCCACATCAACTCTCAGAAGTCAATATCAACAGCCCCATTTTACAGACAATGAAGCGACTCAGAGCAGTGAAGTCATTGCTCAAAATCATACAGCTGGCTGAACTAAGACACTCAAATTCTCCAGATTTCATACTCAGCCAAAGTATGAAATAACTTAAGCACTTATGTGCTTTTTGAATGAATGAAGCAACTAACAAGTCAGAGCCAACCAATAATAATCACTCACTCACACAGTATGGTAAGATTCATAAAGGTTTTTCCCCAAATTGTCTCATTCGATCCTCTCCACAACCCTGGGAGGCTTCATTCATAAGCTCTGCTTTACAGGTGGGAGACCTGAGGTGCAGATTAACCAATTTCCCTAAGCCACACAGTCGTCAGGGCTGGGGGGTGGGGTGGAGGGGGGGGTGAGAACGTGGATCTTTGCTCTCCAATTCTCCCTATAAGCCCAGCACTAACAGTCGCTTTGTCTCCAGCTTCTAACCTAATGCCAGACAGACAGGGGCTGCTCACTAAATTTGGCCGAATAAATGCAACAATGAATGAGAAAATGAACAGAACCACATCAGATTATGAATGGGAAAGAGACTTAAACTGACGCAGTCTGCAAGTATGAGATGGGTAAAGCAATGATGTCGACCACTCCGAGTCCTCTCCGGTCAGCCCCTTCCCACACCGGAGATGGAATTCCTCCTCTGAACTTGGCTAACGCCGTCCCGGAAAGGGGGGCGCCGCCAGGTGCAGAGACCCCGCACCCGCGCCCGCCCGCGCCCCGCCAGTCCCGGCGGCTGAGCGCGGAGAGAACGCCGGGGGCCGAGCCGCCATTGGGGGGGTCGTGGGCGGAGCCCCGGAGCCCGTGAGGGGCGGGGTAACGGAGGCTAGAACCCCGGCGGGCGGGGCGGAGCGGGGCGGGGCGCCCGCAAGTCCCGGCCGGCTGCGGCGGAGCTCGCGGAACCGGCTCTGCGGAAGGCGGCGGCCGGCGCCGGGACGGTCACATCGCGCTGCGGGGCCAACCAGGCAGCCGCACTGCCCTCCGCACTGGGGACCGAGGCCAGCGGCCAGGCCGCCCCGGCGACGCCCCCTACTCGGGGCCGGACGCCTGCGCTCGGGGCCCCCGCAGACCCGCCGCCCGCGCGCACCCCGCTCTGCCCCCGGCCCGCGCCGCCCGCCTCGCCGGCCCGCGCCGGGATGGGGTAGGGACAGCGCCTCCGAGCCGGGCAATGGGCCGCCCTCTGGGCGCCGAGCAGACCCCGAGGCCTGACCGGCCCGAAGACCGGCGGAGGTGGGTGTGCGCCTGGGGAGCTCCCACTGGAGGCGCTGGATTCTGAGGGTTGGGGCCAGTGGGGGAAACGTGGCTAACGTGGGCCGCGGGGAGCCCGGGAGAGCTGCTGCCCACCGAGGCAGCCCCTGACCCCCAAACTCGCCCCCTCCAGGAGCTCCGCCTGGATGTCAAGCGCATGCCCCAGTGTCCCCCAGCGGACTCTGTGGGACCATGGCTTCGCTGATGCCCCTCTCCTCATATCTGAGCCCCACGGGCTTCGTGAGAGCAGGTGAGTAACAGGAATGAGGGTGTCGTCAACCAGAGGTGGGGTGTGAGTGAAACCTGTTAACACCCTGGCATCCGCAGACCGACCTCCCTCTCCTGTGAACGTGACGGTCACTCACCTCAGAGCCAACTCGGCCACTGTGTCCTGGTGTAAGACCGAGGGCCTTACCAAACGCTCCGAGGAGCTGAAGTGGAGCACACCCGGGGATCCCAGCGGTGCCTCCAGAATGTAAGACCAAAGGCCTTACCAAACGCTCCAAGGAGCTGGAGTGGAGCACACCCACGAAGGAACACACCAGCCATGTTGGGAAACAGACCTTTATTAGTCTGGCCAGACGGCACTCCCGAAGCAAAATAGCTCAGAGAGGCACCTGGCTCAGAGTCCGAGGTTGTTTTATAGGGGGTTAAGGGGGGTGGTTAACATGTGGATTCACAGAAAAAAAAAAAGAACAAAGGTTAGTGGCTCATTGTCACATGCTGATGTTCAGCAGACATCCTGACTGACAGTTACGACCACCCTGTTTACAGATTGTCCTATAGATACTGGGCCCTGGGACATTTGGATTTAGGGCAAACAGATGGCTGAGTAACCTCGCCCTATTACTGATTGTCCATTGTCCCGAGGCAAACACACTCCAACCATCAAATTTACAACAGAATCTAGGGGAGTAATTAACTTTTGAATCACACAGTCCCACACTGGGACGCCCCAGAAGGCAACATCGTCATTGGCTACTCCATTTCCCAGCAAGTATGAATCACCCACCCTTCTGCCCCCCAGCCTGTGTCCTTGGTGGTCTGGACGTTCCTTTGGTTACCTCCATGCTCTGAGCTCTCCTCCCAGCGCTGGGGGATCTGGGAGCTGGTGTGGCCCGGCCCGGGCGCCCTTTCCATCCTGCTCCCTTGCAGGGATGGGCTGTACCAGAGCCCAGGTTGAGCCGTGTGGCCAGGCCCTGGGGTGAGGCTGTCCTCTAGTGTCATCTCCCCGCAGCAACAGAATGGCCCCAGGCAGGGGCAGCGTGTGATCCGGGAGTGAACACCACCACCAGGGCCTGTGCACTCTGGGGCCTGGCTGAGGACAGCGACTACACAGTGCAGGTCAGGAGCATCGGCCTTCGGGGCGAGAGGCCCCCAGGGCCCCAGGTGCACTTCTGGACTCTCAAGGGTTCTGACCGGCTGCCCTCCAACAGCTCCAGCCCAGGTGAGGGCCTGTGCTGTACATTCTCTGGTTGTTTTACCTGGCTTTTATCCTCTTATTTACCTCCCAAAGCAAGCTGCAGTCTCCCTTAGATAAATAGGGAGATGATTTAATTCACTGTACTGCCAGGAAAGGAAGGAAAAGCAGATGGGCAGGGGCCCAGTATAGACAGACTGCGAATGAATCCTTTGGGGGGAGGGCTTTGACGCTCCCTCGCCCAGCCTCACAGCACATCACATCATGTCGTGTGTGGCCAGGTTCTGCAGCCTCTAACCACCTGTCTACCAAAGGCTTCCTCCCAGAGAGGAGCTAACCTAGGGCTCCAGGGGCAACACTGACAGGTCCAGCCTGACTCTAACCCCCACATCTCTACCCTGTGACACGGCTTCCAGCAGGTCCTCTTGACGCAGAGTCTGCCTCCTCTCTTCTCAGGGGACATCACCGTGGAGGGTCTCGATGGAGAGCAGCCGCTTCAGACCGGGGAAGTGGTCATCATCGTGGTGGTGTTGCTCATGTGGGCTGGTGAGTGAGCAACTGGATGCAGGACTCAGGAGGGGGCTCAATGAAGGCAGGAGGTGGCAAAGGTTGTCTGTCAGGAGAAGAGGGAGAACATGAAATGAGCAGTTGTTTGGTTGAGGGAGGATGGTCAGGAGGCTGGCGGGAGCCCAGAAATAAAGACTGCATGAGCACCCAGAATTCAAGGATTTTATTCCTGGATTTTCTAGAAGTTGTCTGGGTATCTCATTACTCTTCAAGGCTGTGAGTGGAGAGGTTGAGATGGAGGCTCAGATGGTATTGCTGTATTTCAGCTGTAATTGGGCTGTTCTGCCGTCAGTATGACATCATCAAGGACAACGACTCCAACAACAACCCCAAAGAGAAAGGGAAAGGGCCGGAGCAGAGTCCTCAGGGAAGGCCAGTAGGGACAAGACAGGTGATGTGGGGGCCTGTGAGGGTGGGAGGGTGATTTGGGCTAAAGGACCAGCCAAGGAAAGTGAGAGGCCAGAGAGGGGCAGGAAAAGGGGAGAAAGATTTGAGATGAAGGTGGCCAAGAGAAAGAGAAGCACCCATTACCTTCCTGAAATTAGAGACCCAGGCCATTCTCTCTGGGTTTTTTTTGGTTTTGTTTTTGGGTTCTTTTGGCCCTTCTCTTCCACAGAAAAAGTCACCATCCATCAACACCATCGATGTGTGAGCAAACTGTTTGAGTGAAGAAACAGAACCAGAAGAGAGCTGCACTGACAACGTGGGGATGAGGGTAGGGTCAGGGAGAGCCTAAAGTGGTGATCTGCCCAGGACTCCCGGGGGGTAATGCACTTCCATGATCTCAGGCTGGTGCCCATCCTCATTCCACTGTGAGTAGGCCCAGAAGGTAGGTCCCCTGGACCAGGAGAATGGACAGCAGATGGGTCATCTCTTCCCATCCCCCAGGTCCAGGGAAGAGTCACTTGTTCAACCCTATCCCATTAGGTCCCAAATGGGGGCCCTGTCTCACCTGCATCAGGACACTTGGCATCCCCGGCTACCCCGCCATCTTGCCTCTGGGCCTCGGAGAGGGGTGTTTCTGTGGGTCCTTAGCCTCCCCCAGCAAATAAAAGGAATCAACTGGGCCTAGAGGCAGACGTTACACTGCACTAGTGCAATGTCTTCCATGGAGCCTCTGGTGCTCCCCGTCACCTGGTAGTCCCCCAGCTGCTGGTGATCTCACCCCTTGGACATTTTTCCAATAAAGGTTCTTGAACAAACTGGAGCTGACTGTTGGCATGCTGAAGACCTCTCCCTACTGGTCTCTCACCTGACTCTCCATGGCCCCTCACATCACCAACAACTTGAGAGGTGCAGACTCATTGTTAGGTGTTTGTTTCAACTCTTCAGCCTGAAATGGGAGGGAAGGGACCAGTAAGAAAGGCCAGAGAAAACCACAGCCCTAGTTTCTTTTGCTTTGTTGGGTGCAAGGGGTAGAGGAGAGAAGAGAAAGGTGTAAGTTCTTCCTGTGCTAGTGGAAACTGTTATGTCACATGAGAGGGGCAGTGGTTTATTTACTGCTTCCATCACTAGCCGAACTCCTCACCGTTAATTCTTCTGCATCTTCCATCAACCCTGGGCAAATGGTCCAGAAAAGGACTGAGCAGTGTCTTTGGGATAATCAAAGAGCAGCTACACTAATGGATCCCTCAGTCTCACATGCTTCTATCCTGTGTTCTCATGACTCTCCTTCCTGCCTTTGTTTTCCTTCTCATCTCCATCTCTGTCTCTGTTCATAAAAGCAATAATAATTGTCATGCATAAATGAGTTTATAATCGTCATACACCACCATATCCAGAGAAAGATTCTGGCAATAAAATTGAGGGGCTTAGGACTGGGGATTTAGCTCAGTGGTTCTGTCATCTGCCTTGCAAGTGCAAGGACCTGAGTTCAATCCTTGGTACAAAAAAAAAAAAAAAAAATTGAGGGGTTGGGAAAAAGGAACTATACTTTGGCTCTAGGACCTATTTGTTTCCTGTGAAAATAGAGCTATCCTTTACTTTTTCCTAATTTCCAAGAGGGAGTTCATGGCAGTGAGAAGTGCAGCTGTTAACACCGGCAACTATGTGTTGAGAGGCTTCTGGACCCAGAATCTGGGTTACAGGTCTTCCCGACCTCAGGTATCCCAGAGGAGGCTTATGAATAACTCCTTCCCTGTGTTTCATTCTCTCTGGTATGTTACAAGAAATAAAACCCCCAAAAGAAGTTAGACCAAAAATTCTGAAAGGACACCAATCCAAACAAAAACCAAGAAGTCAGTATCTTTTTTTTTTCTTTGATCAAGCTCCAATCCCAGGTATTGCAAGACTTAAACCTCTCAAGCAAGCCATGCTATGGTCTGCCCTGCCACCTGACCCATAAAAGCACCCCAATCTAAGCAGCGGTCCTTAATTCACCATTACTCAATGTCCAAGAAGCATACCTTTCCTTTCCCTGGCTATTGGTTCCAAAACACTTCTCTCTCAGACTCTGGAAACCATCATTTCTTGGGACAGGAGCGTTATGGGCTATAGCAAGCCCGGCACGGAGACAGCTAAGACTTAAGAAAGAATATAAAAAGGGTATTTATGCTCTAGGTTGAATCTCAGTTCCACGTTTTAGAGTCTTTGTTTACTTGGCAAAGGTCACGTTAATCCTGAGTCTCCCGTCATGTAAATCGGGACTAATAATAACTTTCCTTTTCAAAAGGTAATTGAACAATACAATGCATGATCATCTGGCACAGAACCAGGTAGACACATACTCGCTGTAAACTGTCAGTATTACACTTGTGATTCCATGCAAGTCATATAACTCATTTCAAGACTGTCGATTACTTTTGCCTGTCATAGCAACGGCTGTTTCCGAGAGTTTGAGGAGTAAGAGTGCACTCAGCCACACTGACGTCCGTACATCAACGAGCAAGAAAGACGATTCTGGCTACGTAGTACCCGGAGTTTGCGGAATACTTTGTGGGCGTGGCTTGGTCTTGGGTTTGCATACAGCGACGGGATTGGTCAAGGGGAGGTTTCCTCAAGCGTAACGTGGGCCCGCCCTACTTCTCACTGCGCTTGCGCACGTTCTGTTGGCTCCGTCGTGAACCTAGGAGGTGACGCGTGTTGCGCTCAGGTCGCGTTTGCGTCAGCGGATGTCGCGGCCGTCCCTTGGCGGGTTGTCCGGGTAACCGCAGGAGTAGTCGCTGTCTGGTAGCATTTGAGAGACAGGTGTCCGTCATGCAGTTGAAGCACCTGAGGACCCTCCTGAGCCCTCAGGTGAGGAGGCGCGCGCCACTTCCCTCCCCCAGCCACCGTACGGTCCAAGAAAAGCGGAGGAACTGAACTTTATAATGCGGAGCGACTACTTTGCAGGAGAACCTAAAGGATATAGCGACTATCCTTACTCTGCTGCTTTGACTGAGCTTTCAGTAGGCGATGTAGATTATTGATGAGCGTAGCTTTCATTCCATTCCATGCATCAGTTGGGTACTGGGTCCTATGCTGGTGCTCTGGGGGATCCGAAACCACCCGCAAGCCTGCCCCTGTCTTCCGGAGGCTCGGTCCACAGGGAGAGGCGCACGGTGAGCCATTGGATATAAGTCTCCACCGCATGAATTAAGCATGTTAGTGCTGTCCCTAAAAAGGGCGGGAGACTGAACCTTCATTCTGATGAAGATTTGTTGCATGAGATTCACTAGGGGAGAAGCTCTGAAACACAGTGAACAAAAGGTGGGTTTTGGAGTTGAGGTCAGACTTCAAGGTCTAGTTAACTAAATAGCCTGATATCTCTGACTTTAGCCTTTATCTCACAATCTCTTTCAGCACATTGGAAAATGGAAGTAGTGAGAATAGCAACTTTAGAGGACTTGGGAGAGAGTTAAGTGAGATAGTATACACAAAAGAGCACTATAAAATGAAAAGCGTTGTAAAAATTGATAGACAGGAGGGAGGGACATTCAAAATTGAAAGGAGCCAGGGGTGTTGGCACAAACCTGTAATCCCATCTTTCAGGAGGCTGAGGCAGGAGAATTGCTTTGAGTTGGAAGTCATATGCCAGATAGTGAGTTCAAGGCCAGCCTGAACTACATAGCAAAACCTTGTCTCAAAAAAACAAACGAACAAACAAAAAAATTTTTGAAAGAATAGGCAAACACAAAGCTAATAAGAATATCTGCATAGTTGAGTGTTTAATATATACCAGGGCAGCATAAGTAAAGACATTAGGATTGTGATTTATGGAGTCAGACATATGTAATTTGAATCTTGTTTCTGCCACCTACAAACTATATATAAACATTGGGCACATTACTTAATCTTTCTGTGCCTCAGTTTCCCACCTGTAAAAGGGGCATCATAATAATAGCGTCTACCTCAGAATTATGAGGTAAAGTGAGATAGTGGATGTCAAGCACTTATCAAAATGCCTAACATAGGACAGTGCTTGTTAAAGCTTAGTCGCTATTATTCTATTCCCCATCTCATTTCATTCTCAGGACAGTCCAATGTGATATATATTGTGGAGAAAGAAGAATTAATTGATTATAGGATTCAGAAAGGCTTCACAGAGGATGTGGCACTTGGAAAATAAGGGAAATTTGAACAAAAGAGTTGTGCTCCTTGATCAGTAAGCTGGCCCTGAATCTGTAATTTAAAAATTGCTTTGCCGTAATGGAAAAATTGGAAATGGAATCCTCCTTCAGTCTCTCAAAATAAGATGATGTCATGATGCAGGGAGGCCCAGATGCCCAGGATTGGGCATAGCCAGGAAGCAGGCTGATCAGCCAGAGTTGATGGGGAGCCTCAACCCTCTTCACCCAGTGTAATGAAGAGTTAGAGGACGACAGTTGTGGTGTGGTGATTTTCTGGCTCTGGTTTGAGGATTTTAGGGAAAGGAGCCTTTTGACTTGTGACTTTGGAGATAGTGGATTCAGAGTATAAAGTGACAATGTTTTAAGCCAGAAATCTAAATCCCAGGTGATTAATCAAACAGTTAGTGTAGAAGCTAAATTTTTTAATTTAGTAGGGAAACCTTTAGTGTCAGAAACATAGCTGACCAGAGCTGGTGGAGGGAGGGACAGACATGGTTAGCATGATTCACTGGGGTAATGATCGCTTCTGACTTGCACTTATGTGAAGTGGGTACTTAAGTGCGGGGTGCCATTGCTCATCCTGTCTATCTTAATTACTTTACTTCCCCTTCAAATCTTTCACTGTCTGCCTCTTTCCTGCTAAATAAGCCAAACTCCTTGGCCTGGCTTCAGAGGTCTTTCCTGAGATGTCCCCAGTCTAACCTCCTCTCTGCTGCTACATATTTACCAGGTATTTTCAGCAAGAGTAAATTACTGTTTCTTGACCAGAGCTTGCCTTTGCTCATGCTATGCATTCAGTTACAGGTAATTCCCCATTGCATCCATTCTTCAAAGCTTAATTTCATTATCTCAGGCTTTTCCAAATTATCATAGCACTTTGTACGTATTTTTCTTTTTCTTTTTTAGAGACAGGGTCTCACTATGTAGTCCAGGCTGGCCTTGAACTCATAGCGATCCTCCTGTCTCTAGCTCCCGAGTGCTGGGGTTATAGGCGTGCACCAGTACACCTGCTGTATTTCTCTGTTAAAAAGAATTATCAGTACATGTTTACATTATGTAATGTGTACATTCATCGTGGGGAGCTGGCACACACACATCACATCTTAATCCTTTTTACTTCCTCTCCTCTTCCCTTCCCTGCATGTATTTCTCCCTTATGCCTTTTCCTATTTTGTACCATCTTTTTTATTTTGGTACCAGGAATCGAACTCGGGACCTTGAGCTTGCTCAGCAGGCGCCGGAACCACTGAGCTAACCATTAGATCGTGGGGCAGGACCTATATTTTTCTCTTTGTCTTTCAGCCCCTGGCCAACTGCTTTTCTCAGTAAGGTGTTCAGAAATATATTAACTGAATGAATAGCATTGTAAAACTTATTAGAACAACTGAATTTATTTCAGTGGCAAACCTGAGATGTGAGGGAACAAGGAGGCCTCTGCAAGGCTGCAATGATGTGGTTGAATCAGTGCATTTACACTGTGAGTCTAAAAGCACACTGTCCTCAGTCCATGTTCTGGTGGCTTCGGAGTCCAGGATGGGGCTCAGGAATCTTTTATTTAAAAAAAAAAAAAAAA